ACACTATTAATACATATGTCACTATTTAAAGGTACATCACAAAAATTTGTGTGTTGTCTTTCCAAAACAGAGGACTAAAATAATGAAGCCACAATCGAACAAAATGTTTTGAATTTTATTATTATAATTATTATTTTGTCATTATTAAAAATAATGACTTACGTATTCTCATACTTTTGAGAAAATGGGGTGACACGTTCTTAATTTGATCAATAAAAAAATTGTAATGACGCCAAAAACGTAAATAATACTTGCCATAGCACAAAAGAAAATTAGTCACAGCGCATTACCAATGCAAGAAAAAACCAAAGTGATAACAGCTGTGAAGGCAGTACGACTCCGCAAGTAGAACTGATAAATTTTTATTGTGCACTTTTTCGAAATCAGTGAGACAAGTGTTATTGTTAAGCAGGTACGTGACAGATCGAAAACAGCACATCTGGGGTTTCTTGAGGTTCCAACTTGACAAACAAAATCATAAAAATTCTTCGATTCTTTTCGGTGAAGGGATGAACCGGCGTCAATGGTAGTACTAGTAACTTACGCTCGGGAAGTAAAAATATTAATAATGTGAAAAAGTTACTGCACAAATTGCGATTTCCAGCTGCACAAATGCATTTTTGAACTGCACAAAATGTGTAGAACTGCACATTAATTTAGGCCCTGACAATCAGTAATGGAAGGAAGTACAATGTCAGACCTTCTTACACATACATATATGTATATACAGGATACAGGGCTAAATAAAACAGAAAGCCGAATTTATATGCATTAACAACGCAAATAATAATAAATTTATTAAAATTGCTTAAAAATCTATGTAACAAGTGCTAGAAATGTGCCAATTATTAGTTTTGCAAAAAGCTACTCTATCCGTAAAAAATCGCCACACTCGTTCGAGAATTTCTGGTGGTACCGATTGACAAGTTACCACAACCTTTTCTTTCAGATCTTCTACACCTAAAATGGGGTCCTCATATACTTTGTACTTTACCATCTCACACAAGAAAAAACAATGTTTAAGAAGCAAAGGACGGCATTTTGAACATTTGCTGTAGTCATTTAGTATTGAGTCATAAAAAATGGAAACATATAATTATCTTTTTTAAACTCCAAGTTTGATGTTAATATTAAACTGACAAGGAGATTACTATGAATTTTTACAAATAAAGCATCACCGAAACCTGTTCAATGTATTTTACGTTGCGTGTTAAATTCCTTCGGGTTCATTTTCATTCGTGACAAGGTATTTAGAGGTAAATCTCTAAATATGTACGTTGATTCGTGAGCAATTCTGTATATTTTATGTCTGATAACATTATAACATTGATAACCGATAGCTGTTGCTTGAAGCGAAGTGAATTGTGTGCTGTCTACTTCGGAGTCTATAAATGATTATTCTCTCTCGGTAATCTACTTCTACTTTCGCAAATAGTGTTTTATACGAACCTTACAAACAAGTTTTAAATAGAGTTGTAAATTTGTCGTCTAGTTTACTTTTCGACGTTGACAATAATGCTGTCATTAATAAATTTGTGGGAGGAAAAAGAATAAATTTTTCTGTACGAGGGTCGTATCAAGGGCGATGCTTTGCTGCGGCAACAAGTTATAATAATAAGGGTATGTTCTTAGTTCAGTTATTAAAAAAAAATTTTTGGGGAGGCCAGTGTTGGTGTACATAAAAACACTACATAGTATTATTCACTCATTTACTCCTTATTATTCTTTTATGTTAATTGCTAAAAATAAATTCTCGAATGAATTATTATATAATATTGTTACGAAATAAACCCATACGTCGTCCCGGTACGACGCCTATGGGTTTTTTCGACGGCTTTCTAGTATGCACGGCGATGATGGGTGACTTAGCGATGGGTACTTTAGAAAAACTTCGACCACGAGACTTTTAGAAAAGAAGTAAGGGTTTAAATAGAGGCCACCTTCAGGAACGAGGATTATTCAGTCAATTCAGTGAAGAGACAATCCAGTCAAGTTGCGCCGGAATTATTTTGTACGTAATCGCTGTGCAATTAGTCGTGTAATTTCAAGGTACTGAGAAATAAATTGTTGAGTTTTACCCACGCTGTTTTAAATTACCAATCAACGTAACAATATATTAGAAAATGTTGATACGGATTATTATTGAATTTAAAACTTAATTGTTACTTATTCAAATGTGAATTTTTAATTTGATTATATTGACTACGCTCATTAAATACTGAAATAATAATTCTATACTTGAGTGCGTTGAAACCAACTTATTGGAATGCAAAATACAAATTGTGAAATTATTGGCAACAGTGTTACAGTTTTTGTCAGATTTTCTAGTCTTACATTAAAAACAACGTATAGTATACCCAACATCCCACAACAATTGATCCAGTAATTTTGGATGACAATCAATATTCTAAGTTCTTTGCATTTAATGTGAAATACAGACTTTTTAAATCATGAATTGTAGAACCCTGTGTAAGCAAACAGGTCAACCTTCTGTCTTCTGCTGTTTCATTCGAATGGAACCTCCAGGTGTGACTTAGTTTTTGTTGGCACTAGTGATAACAAATATTTTTCCAGTAAAAAACTAAAATAGTGTTACATCCTTTTTATTTTTTACCTTACAATAATAAAATTCAGAAGTTGGCAGTAAGTAGGCGCATACGTTAACGATTTAGTATTTTTAGCTTAGATTAAAGCTTCTAGTAACCAATAAAACTCCGAAGAAAGTTACCATGGTCGATACATTCCAAATAAGAAATTACACTCTGGACAGTAGTGGTAAATATTTTTACAGGAATTCATACAGTAGGGTAACATCGCACATGGCCAGCATCCGAAAAGACATAATGCAGCAGCCGTAAAATGAGTAAATTTTGATCTTTCCGCTGTCGTTACAGTAATCACAACAGTCGCGCATTGGGAACACCAAATGTAAATGGGATCTGGTCCTAGTAATATTTGTTCGGCTAAAAATTGGTATCATTACTAATAAATTACATGCTTAGTTAAATTTTTGGTAAAAACTGTGCAAAATTCGTACTACATTTTATTACATACAGGATGCGTTGCTAAATTCTCTGGACCAAACACCATGAATTTCAGCGTAAGATGGTGGAGGGACTCTTGTGAATGCATTGAGATGCTGCGTTTCCATAGATCTAGCATCTCTTCTTATGTCCAAGGAGGGACGACCTTGCTTAATTACTGTAGAATAACTTGGCGGTACACAAGAATCTGTTGGTAATGGTCCATTTCTATCTGTATGTGAAGTACAGTGTCCAACTTCTATGTCACTTTGTGATTCATTGAATTGTCCTGTTCGAAAAATCTCAAGAGTTGGTTTGATTTCACCTTGGTTGGAATGTACTCGTGGGATCTGTGATTTATTACGTTTGGATTCATAAATTGTCGATGTGACATCGTTGATGATCGAAGGATGGTAGGAAGGCGCCGCTGAACCTTGTGAAAAATTTGAAAGAAGTGAATTATTGATAATTTTGTCAATAACATTGGCCACTATTTGTACAGTTTCTTGACGATTTTCTTCATTGTTTGCATTAAGGTTTTCATGCATTACTTAAATGATACATTGCATGAATTTGTCATGTTTACGGACGCTGTCAGCGAATGTTATCACAGTGCTGTTATTGTCACATTTTTTACGTTTAGGTTAGTTTGTCACGGAAAGTTCAATCATTGACAAGATAGAAGCAGAACACGGAAAACAAACCCAACAGCTACTTTGGATTATATTTATAAAGATTACTGATTAAAGCTGGCTATCATTTTGGTTCCACCATTGTGGTCAACCTGACAGTTGTAGATTATTGACAAACGTTTAATAATAATCTATTCTGATAATAGGATAATCATATAGTATTCAAACTTTCTACATTTTGGATTAGATATGGATGTGGAAAGAGTTGTAAATAGATAGCAGCTTACTACATTTTTGGAGCTGATCAAGTAATCAGTCATCATCATCATCACAAACGTTAAGTATTGTTCAATTGTCCTCATACTCGGGGTTAGATAACTAATGTTTGATAAGGAATATAAAAGAGTAGTACAAATTTTGAATTCAAGAAAAGCTTCTAGTTCTTCAGCTTTACATATGCTTTAAAAAAGATATTTTCAATAACTTGGCTGTGGTCACCTCGTTTCTTGTTGGATTCTTACTTTGGAAAGTAATAACGATTTAGTACAATGCTTTTTTCGTTCAGTACCTTATTTTTGTTTGGAAAATATATCATAATTTTAAATGGAGCTATGCTGTTTTTACTTTTAAGATCAAGTTTTACAACTTAGATTTATTCACTATTGATATGTTTTCTTATATCCTTCGCCGTAGTGTCAGGATCAAAGCGAGTAGCAAACAAAAACACTTTTTTTTTTAATTACCTTTAGGGAGATGGTGGTGTTGACATCTCCTTTACCAACTACAAGATGTCTTTTGTTTCAGTTATAACGAATTTCAGTGAAACCTTTATCTTCCTTAGGTTTATTGTTGATATTTGCAATCTTTTTAACTTTACTTGCATTTGTTGGTGCTTTACTGGGAAGATCGATGATCGCTTTCATTAAATTTGATTGATCTCTTTCCAGTACAACTAAACTGAATTCATTGCCTAAAGATAGTTTTTGGTATTTTTGATTATTAATTATTATATTTCGGTTTTGCTTTCTTATTATCGCTTTTCCTTGATATAGTAGATTTTTCGTTGTTACTACTTGCTTTATATGTATTAAAGTAATTTACATAAAAAATATACGATCCAGATTTGGCTTTTGTTTCAAGAATGTTAAAGAATTTCGAAATTAATTAACCACTAAGACAGAGTAATTTAAAAGACTTCAGGATAGCCCAAAAGAGCAAATATTAGAGATTTTATTTAAAATGAAACTTTTAAATGTTAGTTAACTTAGTAAACACAGAATTACATGTTGATATGTTCCAAATAATAATTTAAAGTGAATAAGGTGCATTTTAAAAACATTAGAAATATAGTAAATTATATATTTAAGTCTTCAAAGTTTACAAAAGTAGATGGTACCACTGAAATAACTTACTGCTGCATGTAAATATATACAATGTCACCAAAAACGCTGCACTAAGAATTATCAATGTACGTTAACAAAACTGTGTTAACAAAGGTTAGGTGTTTCGACGTTAAAATCTTTAGTAGACGGAATTAATTTTCCTTTCTTTTTGTCGTACGTACCAAAACAGTAACCACACTTTCTACAACATATTATAGTGTTTGAGCCACCAGACATTAACATTGGTAAGAAGCACAACGGCCAACAACCAAGCAAAAAGAACGCTCCCAACGAATTGTATGCAACCTACAAAAATTATAACAAATATTGTAATTAATAAACAATAGTGTTAGTCCTACTTTATTCCTTTGCTTCCGTATATATGGTTGTTCTGCATTTCCACATTTAGGGCATGTAAGTTGATTAACACCAGGACGCCAACTTTCAACTAAATTACAAATGGTTAACTTTTACATTGACACAAATTTTAAGTAGAAATGTATTCCTCTTACTTGTCGTTTTATAAAGGTTTTTTTTATCACCACCAAGTGCACGTCTTCTGGATTTTATAAAGGTGGAGGATTTCTTCAGAAGGCTGCTTGCAAGTGAACATTTATTTAAATTTTTTTCTAAAAATAAAAGTATATACTTAAATGTAAATTTTTAAATTATCATACCTACTTTGACCTTTTGTGCCTGTTCTGCTGTCCCCTAGGCCTTCGCAGTTTTCCATAATATAATGGTTTATGTCTATTTCTGGATGGTTTGACAAAAGGTGCTCTCCAAGAGAAAAAAGGTTCCCATCTTTACATGAAATCTTGACTCCACAGATTCGACATGTTGCCGTACACTCCATTAAGTACACGATTTGTCAGCACTAAAGGCGATGGATGGAGGCATTTTTAGAAAGACTTTGAATTTTGGGAAAGTTTGCGTTTACATTAATTTTGGCCACATCTTTTGGCAGTTTAATATGATGACAACTTGACGTTTTGTAACCATACTGAACTGACAAGCTTATAGTAATTGGACCAAGGACAAACTTGTTTAGTAATTTAATGTAAAAAAAAAAAACAGCAGATGCTCATTCCACTTTAAGTAAAGGCGGTTTGGGTTCCTATACTGGAACTGTTGTAGGATTATAGGAGTACTATATTTTTCGCACATTTGAAAATCTCTAAGACAAGTTTTCAGTGGATATTAAATAGTTTGTAGCAATAAAGAGCAAAGGTAAGTCAAGTTTGTTGTTGATTACTCCGTGATTAAGTTCATTAATTGGGCCTCTACGCGCAGGAGACTCGAATACCAGATTTTCAACACGAATCATACAGAACATTTTAACCATAAATATATATATCCAAATGTAGTAAGTATGTACCGGATAAGACGACTACAATACAAAAAGAGATAAGCAGTACGAGGTGAGACAAGACCCGGGACGGTGTTCTTCTTTCACTGGGACACCACAAAATACAAACAATTTAAGACAAAAATTACCGAAACAGGCAAACTGGAGGTGATAACGGATTTAGAAGTTCAATTTACAGAATTCAAAACGACGACAAAGAGTGTAGAGAAGTAATGAAGACCTCACTGGAAGAGAATAGAATGATGAAAAAGAATATAAGTATCTATTTAAGTAAATAAAAAGATAGAGAGAACTATTAAGATCGAATTTATTTTCCACTAGAAAAGAGACAGACAAAAGGGAATTTGAATATTCAAATTGCAACAAATATTTGTTCCAATAGTGCAAGTCCTCATTAAGTCGTTGTTTATACCAGTGAATGCTACTTTTTTTTATTTTATGCCATAACATTGAGACGATAATCTCCTAAAAGCCAGTTCTCAATGTGCTCCGCTGGCGATGTAAAAAACAAAATCCACGTGAAGTCAATATTTACAGTTCGGACAACGTCCTGTGCACAGATAGATTGCATACGAAAAATCCTATAGAAAATTAAAAAAAAAAACGGGAACATATTAAGCGTGCTTTCTTATATGGGAACATATAATCAGCCGATTAAATACCTACGTCGCAGCACGATCACGCCGCTCATTCCATCAAACACAAGATCCCTGTTGTTGACGAGTTTCTAACCGCGGAATGTAAGTATGACTAAGTAATGTTGCTGTAATATGCGTTTGCCGCAAAGGTAAAACTGGCAAACTTATTCAGTCGATGTTAAGCATAAATGTAACATGCTTCGAAAAATGTTAAAAAATTTAACGATTTTCGTCCATTACCAAGATTTTTTAATGATTAAGATTTTCTAATAATAGTTTTAATGTATGAGCTTCCCAAGTCGGCACAAAAATTCCATACTAAAGCATTTGTTATGGTAAAATACTTAAATGTTAAAATAAAATGCGTGAATATTATAATTTAGAAAAAAACCTCATGGTTGAAAAATTTCATTCATACACCACTTCAGATTCTGTACTTTTCACTATGAATGGACATAGGATTTTGCTAAACTGTCATTTCATTTATGCGACATCATCTTCAATAAATTTAGAAGTTCATAAATTCTTTCGAAACCCTAAACCAGTCTGGACGGATTTGTCTCACAATTTTGAAAACATTTGTCTAGCAAATTTATGCCGCGGCAACTGTATTTTTTCGGCTAGTTTACGAAGAAGAAGAAGGAGTATATTATGCGGTAGGTTTTCGGGGCATAGAAATGTGGAATAATATGAACATATAAAAACCGAACAAACACAAAATCCTAAACATATGTTTGGAATCAATGTAAATATTTGAATATCACAAATTTAATAAAACAACAAAGCAAAAACTGAATTAAGTAACTGGATGCAAATACACAAGTTATTCCGGGCGTGTGGCGGCAGATTTTTAAGGTTACGGCAGTTAACAGGAGCACAACAAAAGTATGCCTGGGGCGTTCTAGCATAAGCGGGGTTTGGGGCTACAGGTCTGGGGCTGTTCTCCCCCCCACGACGGTGATTCTATCTATCGCAAAGCCTACCCGCACGCACCTCCATTACGATCATGCTGTGCGAAACTAGGCCATTACGGTCGCCAGACCCGCAGTTAGATCTCGACTATTGGTCCAAGTCGAGAGCACTACAACATCGGCGGCCGCCCCTGAATCTATCCAAACCTGTGGACTTGTACAGGTGACAGGATAAATCTCGCCAGCTCAACTAGGAACCGCACTTCGCTTCTGCCACGTTTTCTGTGTTATTTAACCTCAATTCCATTTTTAAATGTTCAATCTCTAATGAGTCTGATATTAACAACAACTGAACAAATGTTAAAGTTTCAAAAGAGCAATAAGCAATATTTAAATTCGCCATCCAATCTTGTGAAATTTTAAACAACAAATAATTCTTAGGTGAGATTAAAATTTGTCATCAGATAATTTATACGATAGTACCTAACATTCATCAACAAAATATTTACAAAACAAAACTTAGCAAACATTTATGAAACAAAAGAAAAATGTCCAAATGTGCCTCGCTCCCCTACATTCAAACGAGGTAAATCTCAGCGGTTCGATATCACTTGGTAAGCATACCAGTGTCTTTCAAACAGAAATCATTTTTGTTTTGATTGAATGTGTGACAGAATGTACGCAGAGGGCTCTCCCTGGAAGGCGAATCTACATTTTCACAGACAGCCAATTATTTCTCGCAAAATACGAAAAAACAAATTAGGGACAACAGTTATCCACAAAAAAATGTAATTTAAATTTGTTAAAATCTATCTGTATAATAATTGTTATATGCAATGTTTGGTGGAACTGATGGATTAAAAATTAACATCATCTGCATGTAGGTAGTAGGACAGCATATTGAGAAATATTGAATCGTTGAAAAAAAGAGATAAATAAAATTAGACCAAGACTTAACCCTTGAGTGACACTGTTGTGTAGTAAATATTTTCTAGATATATTACGTAAATATTCAGCACACTTACATCTATTTTGTAATAGTGATTCACATAAGCTAATCATTGTATACTAAAATGTTTACAGTACTCGTAAATATCTTTTATTTCTTGACGAATTTAATAATAATGTAAATAATAACATCAACAGAAAGTGCTGTTTCACGATTATAAATACCTCACATACAGGATTGTTAATCTTTGTTTATTTATTGTATAACAAATAGATATCTTAAACAATTAGAAAATTATTTAATAAAAAATAATAAAGGATAATACACAGTTTGCAGTGTAAGTAGCGACAGATTGTTTGAATTGAATCTTAGAAAAAAATGACTCTCTTGGAAATGTGGTATTTTGTGCTTTGTTAAAATATGGCCGTAATAACATAATTCACAAAGCGTTTGAGAAATCCATTTTTTAATTTTTCGAAGCACTTTCGAATTTTTGAAGACTTGTCGGTAAACTTACCATAAACAGATTAACACTCTTGCCTGAAGTAGTCTTCTTACGTTATTAATCCATATTAATGTCCAAATTTTTGCGTCGAGTGAAGCTTTTACAGATCCACATCCCCAAAAACTGAAAAATTAGTCCTTTCCTAGCATGTAGGTATACACATATGTTCAAACAACGTGCCATCAACGTGATTGCACCTTATTTAACGAACTTTAGTGGGTAATATTGGAAACGATTTATTAATTTGGTATTATTTTATTACTTCCATCTTTTTACAGTACTTTTATTTATTAATACACATTATTTATTTTTACAGTTATTTTTCAATAATAATTTATCTATAAGTATGCCCTGCTAACGCTTTTTTCTAACAGATATAAGAAATTAGATTTATTACCTAGCTACTCTAGAACAAACGTCAGCAAGAGTATAATAGTATAATTAATCCACTCCTATTTAAAGCTATTAAGTATTGTTAACACTATAAACACTTAGTATAAATCTGAGTTTATCACAATCATAATAAGGCTTCGATAAATTAGTACTTTATCATTTTTTACCTTAAAATGAAGCAGTTTGTATAAAATATTCAAGAACATTTACGAAAATAGATATGTCTATAACAGAGATTACCAAGTAAATCTTTCTCCTAGTTTCACATATTAGGTGTAAAGTAGGTTAATTATAGTCGGCTCTAATTTTAACAGCATAAGCTGAAAGTAATAAATTTGAGCTATTTCAAATTCTGGGCAATCGAATATGTGAATATTAATTTAGTTAAGTGGGTCATTCAAATAATGTGACGTCTCTAAAATGTGCAAGTAATTATGATCCGTCTCGTGCGTATTTGTTTTTTACAATCCTATTATATTTACTGTTACCTGAGACTGCGGAATAATTTTATTTAAGTTGCACCCTAAGCTGCAATCCAATGTTTAAATAATTCTTTGCATTGGTGTTTTTAACACATAATTATATCATTTTAAATAATTTATTAGAAGTAAATTATTTATAATAACTTGTCATTTATATTTGGGTACCACTTAAATAATTTTGACTGAGCATTTGACGCGCACTCATTTGTGTGTGTAGTAGCCGAGTAATTGAAAATTTGATTAGGTACAGTACTACAATTAGTAGCACCTAATGTTACGTTTTGATTAGTTATAACATTTTAGATCTAAATATTATTGTATTTTTGGATATGTTCCTTTCGTAGTAAATTTTAATTGTTAGTAATACTTAACGTTAAACGATTAAAAACATAATAAAGCAGTGTTTTCAATAACATGAACAATTTTTTTCGGTATTGCCGCTATTAACCTTTGTATGTTTTTAATCAAAAATTAAAAGAAAAACTACTACGTACTTGGAAATTCATACTAACTAATTTGCATCATATTTACGTAATGCAAAAAGAGAATGTTAAAGTAATTTGAAAATCGGGAATGATTAATATTAATACATATTTTTTTTACATTATAAAAGTGATACGAGTAATTGTTAAACGTATCGTAAATTTCCTTTATTCTGGTCAAAGCGTTTTAGCATCGAAATATATCAAAACTAATTAAAAACTAATTATAGGAATATTAATAGTTGTACCTAAACCTGCTGGTGTTCATTATTATTTACATGAACTTACGTACTTTTCATTATACCACTTTTTAATAGCTTCAGCTGAGGAGGTAGCTGTTATTGTAATCTACATACTAATTTTGAGAATGTGCGTATTAAAAAAATAGAGTAACATAATATATTTTTATTTTCGTTATTCTGAAATATAACAGCAATAGATGTCACAAGATCAAGGCATAAATAATACTTCCGTTCCAAATTTATTATCGAGGCTATATATTTTGTAAAATAACGTACAAGGTGTGTTTTGATGATCACGTGACATTTATTACTTTGCTGTATTAAATTAAGTACACTATAAAATTTACTTTAAATATGAATCCAAGCTTGTCGATGTGTTTAATTAAGTAACTGCAAGTGTAACTGTGATCAAAGTGAAATGCAGTTGTGATTCCAATTTAAATTTGGACTTAGACGAATTTACATTGTTTTGTTGACGATACTTGACGAAAGCTATTTTTGGTACTGACACCGACAAACTTATTCGTTGACATTTCCAGAACAAATTAATTCTGTGTTCAATTATATTTATATTCTTAACTACTATTTCTGTAAAAATATACCTAATGGAATTTTTGTTTAATATAATTTTTTTTCTAATTAATGGAAACAAATTTCTGACTACCTAAAACATTTGTAGTATCGGTTATAAGCGAGTTAATATTATTTACATGTTTCAGCTTGTCATAATAAAATAACTTTGATAAAAATCCTACATTTACATCGTTTTATGTCTAGAACTGAACGGAACGTTTTCCGATTTTTCCTCGACAGCAAATATCCTTCTCTCTTCAAACGAATGTACTCTCCGTCGTCCTGTAGGAACTGCTAAAGTCTCAGGTGTACTGTCTTGTTCACGTTCCGACTTGCTATAAAACAGATTTCGAGTAACTAGGGAGCCATACGTGGATTGAGATTACAAGAGATATATAGGCATATCGAGAGTTATAAAAAAATCTCTGCAGTGCAGTTTGTAATAAGCGGAAGCTAAAAGGGGAATAAATCAGTTTTTTCATGAATACGAGCTTCTAATGTTCAGTTTGAGAGTGTAATACTTCCGTATTTTATTGTCTACGTTTCTTTTGTAGGCTATATCGTAAACGAAGGCTGTAGGTTTGGAAGTTTCTTGTTTCTCGACTCCGTAGGAGGTGATAATATAGCCGCCTAATTTAGAAGTTGCGAAATGTGCGAACTTTAAAACTTATTATACGTTGTAAAATAAATTGCCTGGAGTATAGTTAGATATGAGTGCCACTTGAAAACTGAATCGTAACAAAGTAATTAGTGTTTTTTTTGAAGAATGAAATCTTGCGAAATATCTTTAATGTAACTGTAATACAGTGGCGGCTGTTTTTGATGGTTTTGGCTTATCAAAATTAAAACGTACTGTAGATTTGTTATGTATAAGTTTAAAAAATAAACTGTTTACCGTCACATTTATTTGCATATCTTGTCAGATCGTATCATAAAGACAAATGAAAAATTTGGACATATACCTACTTACAATTTTTTTGTAATTGAGTCCAAAGACGTTTTGAAGATATTAAAATTTCTGTCAACGTCATTGTTCTTAGTTCATTTACGGTGTTGACGTTGGGATGCAAATTTGTTTAAACTGTAACGTATATTTTTTAACAGATTTTGATTGATGATCAAATTACTGTTACAATGATACTGCATAACATATGTGGTATATTAGTTTTAACTATAATATTAATTGTCTAAATGAAGAAATATGTGTATCTACTTAGTCACCATATATTGACATCGAAAAAGATGTACAATGGGTGGCATAAAAAAAAATGAAATATTGATAATTTTAAACTTTCCGCCTACATGACGTTATCAGTCCAAAACTCGCCTGTCACGTGATAAATCGTGGATCTTTGTTGTTATAGGTTATAGTATCAACTCTGCTTGAGAAAATGTTGACATTGGTGTGACTGAGCCTTTTTCAGTGTTGTTAAGAACGGCGGTGTGTTTCATTTTGTGTTGTGCAAAGTTTGTGTAATATGGAGGAAGGATATACCAAAGCTTCATCAGATAATTTGTAATTCGTTAATTTTTTTATGGTTGACGAATTTTATTTTAAAAATTTGAACATGGTTTCTGCTGAAACTCGGAATGTAAAAACAAGCAGGTGAGTAATGTTATTGCTAATACTAGGAACAAAAATATAAAATTAATTGGTATTAACATATCTAATTTGTTATTAGGTCAACAAGAGCATGATACGGCGACGCTGTAGCCTATATACAGTTAAGGCCGGAGGCAAACATTTGCACTGTTAAGGGCAAAATAACCCAGGAGCACAAGATACGTGGTAAATACTACAATGTCTGTGCCATTATTGATGAAGTTAACGAAGTTGTTGTAAGTTGTGAGTGCTCGACATGTACAGCATCTGAAGGTTAGCTTTGAATAATTATCATCATACTACAACTAAGTAAATAAAAGTACATTTTAGGTCACCGCAAACATGCAGTAGCATTCTTATTTTGGCTACATAGGAGAAGTGAATAGCCTTCAGTAATATCACAGACATATTACTGGAAGTGCTCGGCACTGTCACGAGTGGGAAAAGATGCTGCAACAGATTTAGCAGCTCTGGTCAATAAGCCAATACCTCCACTAGCGAAAAGAAGTGGAGCATTTTTAGCAGTTTTTTTGGCCAAATGCCCTAACGCAGAAGGTGGAGTATTTGATATATCAAATCCACCGAAATTTCGAAATACGTCACTTTACCACCTCGCTGTGGACTTTGAAAGTATTTCAACATATCAAAAAACAGCAGATATGTTTATGGCATATACTTAAAACTTAATAACAGCTGGACATTGTCAGCAAATTGAGAAATTAACTAGAGGACAAGCAAATTGTTCCTTGTGGAAAGATATGAGATTTGGACGCATTACTGCTTCACATTTACACTACAACTGTTAACTTCCAAATCAGAAATTTTGATTCTTGAACTAAGTATTGTCTATGCCATTTCTAATGAAACTCCACCTATTGATTTTGCTTATAATTTAGCAATTGGTAACAGCTGTCGGTTGATTGTGAACAACTTTAGTTAGATTGTCTGCAAAATTAAAAAATCTAATTTTTCCGAGGTAAGACATCACGTACACGGAAATTATATCTATTTTAATAAGTTTAGTGGGTCTTTAAAATAGATATACCTAGATATAACTTACCTAATAAATTAGTTCTAGGGCTTGTTTTTTTTTTAGGGAGGGAAGACCTATTAAATGTAAAGTCGTACACTGATGTCTTTTGGTCCATTGTATGCTCACCTCCTTCATAATAGCGAGTTCTAAAAGAGTTCTGTGGCTTTGATAAAGCCCAAGGTAGAATTTGGAAGTCCATGCGTTCTTTCTTGATACCAGCAAGTGGCGGTCAAGAACACAGAACGTGTTCGGAGTTCTCATCGTCCTCAAAGCATGTATCGGAAACTACACCAAACAGCCATGACTGACGCAGGGTTAAGATCCGCCATTTTTGAAGATGGCGTGATCTCGTGCGATCTTTAAGTGTTTTTTTTTGTCGAGCTTTGAGGAATTGGCTTACCAGAGTATTAGCCCTTTCATTTCCTTTGTGGCCCATGTGTCCAAATATCCAGCTAAGCCCAACTTTTTTGTTGTGTCCCATTAAATGCTGTATCGGAAGCCTGGCTGTATGTGTGTTACAAATTTGCCTTCCAAAGAGAGGTCTTTACATAAATTCTGTTACACATTCAATTAGGCATTGGTAGACTGGAGCCTGATCCCTTACTGGAGGTTGGACCGTCTGCATAGTAGATGATCAAGCTCCCTCGGGTCATGGTTTTTATCAGCACTGAGTGATCTTTTGCTATAACGGGAAGTTTGCTATCCTCTTTCATCCTGAAGATAGAGTTGGTCTCCATTAGCCTTTCGTCAATAGTCTCATGGCCCGTTCTCGTTCTCGTGTTTTCTCTCACTGCACCTGTTATCATCAGGTGTGTCAACGTTATCTTCGATTCAAAAGAGTTTTAGCCCAGACTTTCATCGTTGAGTCCCATTAGATAACGGCACCGTAGAGGGTGTTTTGGTATTTGGATGTCAAACCCCAGATTTTTCTACGGCTCTTTTGCATGGCCAAAGTGCTGTAGTTTTCTTCGTCTGATTTTTCAAGAAAGCTCGAGAGCCTATGGTCTAGACAAATGTGTAGATATTTGGCTAATTTGTGCATTCGCAATGTTTTTCCAAGGAGTGTAGCCCACATAGTTGATGCCAACGCAAAAATAACAGGGCTTGTTTTTTCTGGATTGACCGACAGACCATTTAGTCGACACTGCTTCTCGATGATTCAATGAGTCCGAGAATCCTCCGCGTGAACGTCTTACCTACGTTGAGAAATTTGATTTTTACCTGGATCGCCTAATAAGCATATCCTTGAGCCTATACTCCAGCTACATTTAACGCGCAAATTAAATCATTAGCTTCCATAAAAGTAGAGACATTTTCTTTTTACAAAGATTGCTATATCATCAGCACATCCTTGAGCAAAAATTCTAGCTTCATGTAATTCGCAAATCAAGTCATCTATTATCAAGTTACATAAAAGCGGGGACAACTAATTCAGTTTCATTGTAAACCTAAGTTCACACTGGTTGATCTTTGGATATGCATTTCACGGATGTGTCGGATCCTCACCGCGGTTGAAAAATGAACACATGGATTCAAATTTGTTTGAATTGTTTTGTCAAGCGCCCCCTCTATATCTAGGAATGTGTTGGGTTAGTAAGATCCATCCTTCAACCTCGCCTCTATCGCCGTGAGAATCTGATGCAAGGTCGAGTCATTAGATTTTCCTAGCAACTCGTCTCGAACATGTCTGTCAATCAGTCTTCCCATTGCCTTTGAAAGGAGAGACGTTAGACTGCTGGATCTAGAACTTTTACTCTCGACATACGTAAGGTTCAGGTTTCGGGATGAAGACAACTTTGATTTTTCTCCAGCCACTAGTAATGCAGCCTAGAGCGAGGTAAGATCTGAAAAGATGCAATAGCGGATTAGTAGGAGGAGTGGTATGAGATGGTGCTTCCTGAATCTCCTCATGAGTTCGGGAACTGCGTGCTCAATAGGAGCTTCATAGTGTTTTCTTGAGACACTGTGACGTCTCCCGAAGATGTATGTCGCGACCTGAATGAAATCTTGCCGCTTGTGGAAGATATTCATCTTCCCAAAGAATTCCTTCCTTCTATCTGTCTTCCTGCGTCGAATTGCAGATTAGAATTCTTTTTGAGCCCTCTTATAGAGCTTATAGAATTGGGTGAATTGTGAGGTAGGACTCTATTGCAAAGCTTCCTTGCAGTCTGTCTCAGCTTAGTGAGGTGAGAGTTTCAGCATGGGGCACAACCGATCCTACGAGAGTTGCGTGCTGTGCAACTATTGTGTTTGTTTTATATGTCGGAGTCTATTTGGTAGCCCCAATACTCTTTTATCAGAGCTTCCTTACAGAGATGAATCTCGGTTGTCGCCCTTGAATCTTTATTCTCCCGGTCCGACCCTTCATTCTTTTGAATGCTAAATCTGACGTTTCGATGATCCGATGAACTCAACTTTCTCGATACAGGCGAGTCTTTGATTTCATGAATCGACCCTATTGATATCGATAACCTATTCCCTCACTTTAGTGAGGAAAGTAGGTTAGGTTCCACGGTTAAGAATATCTAAACCTGTGGTAGCAAGGTAATTCAGAAGAGCTCCCTTTGGAATTTACAGCTGGGTTTACATTTGATAGGACCAATAATAACTGATCCTTTCTGTAAACGTAGGTCCCATACCCGACTCCCTGATGTCCAAAGTTCACAGTCCAAATGTCCGCCTTTTTGCCACTATGCGGCATTATGGTGTGACTTGAACTACAGAAATGATAGCCGGTCCGTAAATATTTTGCTTTTCCGTTATTCCTGTCTACTCAGCAGCCTTAAAGTAGCCGGGTTAAAAACATATAAAACTTTTTTGATGTTGGTATGGTTTCTATTTGTTAGAAATAAAAAAAATACCTAGAAGAAATAAATTGACAGATGTGTTGTAGAATTTTTATTTCAAATTTTAATGTAATTTTTCCATCAAAATTTGGAACAGAGTTATATTATTATTTATTTCGACTTTATTTATTTATTTATTTATTTATTTATTTATTTATTTATTTATTTATTTATTTATTTATTTATTTATTTATTTATTTATTTATTTATTTATTTATTTATTTATTTACTTATTATTTATTTATTTAACAGCTTGGTTGTAAACGCGAAGTAAAAAAAAAAGTTTTTGCAACCATGACATATTTTGTTGAATTTCACGCATTCATCAGGAAGCGGGAGATCGAATTTCCTGCATGCGTGTTTTTTACTTTCCGTTGCCATGGTAATCTTGATACAGCTTGGAAGCGTTAATGTTGTGACATGTTGACAGCGCTGTTAATTTCGTTGTTTATAAATAAGTCACATTTAATTTTCTAATTTTAAAAATGTACGCACTATAAGATACATTGTACACAACAATAATGCTACTCTCCGTATTCACGCAGACGGGGCACTCCCTTCGGTCGTCTTGTAAACAAATGTTCATGCGAGAAGCAGGGTTTCCCGAACTAGCATTGTAAATTTCTCTTTCCACATCCGATATACTAATAATAGTCTTATTACATAATAACACATATCTGTGTTCCAAATTTCGATTAATTTTTAGAAATTTTTTAAAGAACATGTAGATTTTATACACCCATTACATCAATAATCTTGATGTTTACCTATCTCTGACGTTTATATCTACTGAGAAATTCTGAATTTATGGCAGACGCATTTGAGATCAGAAATCAATTTTTCGCTCAAAGAAAGAGACACTTATCCGTTAAATTAATGTCACTATCTATCAAAAAAATGAGGGTGCGCTACGATGTGCTGGTAGGGTCAAGCATCCTTAGGCCTGAAAGATCGTAAAACTATGTGAAGCCTCTGCTATAACGTTCGAACACAAAACAACGTCTAAACTTCCAAAGTAAAAATTCATTGTTTTTATTCACTTGCACCCTGCCGGGCTTAGAAAGATTTTTTGCTTATTTTGTCCCGCAATTGATCAAACACCAGGATCTTGCCATTAATCTGGCAATGAATGCTGTTTCTTAAATGTTATCAGTTATTATGGATTCACAGAGTGGGATGATTCGTTCGGCGGTTAAGTTCGCCATTTTCCAAGAAAAACATTTTTAAGTATTTTTCAAGAATTCCAAACAGATTATATGTGTTATATCGTTGGTTAAATTTCTTTTAGAAATAAAGATGTTTTAAAAAAAGTTTATTGTTGTACATTTGATAATACTAAGTACTTATAATATGTACCTATTCTCAAATACTTAACATACATGAACCTTCCTATATATACAAAATATTTCTCAAGAACTGTGGCTAAACTGAAAAATTAAAAAAAAACAAAATTTTACATTACATTACTTTATATTGATTTAATACATATTTAGTTTATGTAAACTAAGATATAAATAACCGTGTTAAAAGCATTCGCTGTCAATAAGAAAGACTGACTTATCTATGCATATTTATTTTCTCATTCAGCCCATCAGATTCAGTTAATTATAAACAGTGATTGACAATTCATTAACTTTTCGCAAAAGAAGATTCCATGTTTATATTTTTAATTTTTTAATAAGCAGATTAAAACATTTGTTTTTACTTTTGAGTCTTCGTCGAGATCAAACGCAGTCTGTTTTGCTTCATCAGTCAAGCCGCCACTGCTTTAAACATGTTTTGCTTTCTCTAAACGCGAACGTGAATTTAAAATTGAAAAGAGTATTATTTCTGGATTTTGATTGATTGAAAAATAATGAATAATAGATGCAATACGGTGAGATTGTTCAGAGTGATAAGTAGATGTCTTAGAAATGCCCGATGCATTCCGTTCGATGGCGGTCGTTTTGACGTAAACTGATTGTTTTATTTAATTGAGTACTTGTCCTTACTGTTTGATAAATTACCTGAGTTCCAGGCGGGTTAGGCGCTGCTTCAGCTTCGCCTGACTGGCGCTAAATTCGGCAAGAAGTCTAGCGAGGCGTGTTTGCAATATCTCCACAGTGTTTTCTAGTTTCTTTATGCTATCGAGGACAGAATCTTGCGTTTCTCGAGCTTTCTTGAATACCTCTTCGTCGAGTAGGCCATCTTTTCGTAAGAGCTGACATCCGCGTTCCGTTAATGTTGCTCTTGCCTATTGAAAAAAACATCAGTTTTTACTTTGCCCTTTTCGGATTCGACGAGTGAATAATGTGGCTTAATTAACTAACCTCGGGGTAATCTGCGAGTGCAACGAGAAGGTCGTCCTTAGCTAAACAGAATAAGTCCGAATACCCTAACGACCGGACATTAGCTGTTCTTCTATTTCCGGTGCGATTTCCGGCAATATCCAATACGCTCACTTCTCCAAACACTGAACCTGCGCCTAATGTCGCTAAAACCGTAACACCGTCATCAGCTACGACTTGCAATCGACCCCTTTTGACGATGTACATCTCTTTGCCAACATCGCCCTTGCGGCATATATAATCACCAGGAGAAAACACCTGAAATACAAAAGCGGATTAGTGATATTTGTTAAGGTGCATCTAGCGTGTAGAAAGAAAACAGTTATTTACGTAACACGCTGTAAGTGGGATAAAATCCTTAACACAAATATCACTTAATTCTTTTTGTGTGGTCTCAGGTAAATTTATGGTGGACGTAATTGTTCTTTAAGAAAATACAAATCAAGCAAAAGCAATGCTTGCCCAATTTTCTAAGAAAAAACAAAAACCAATATATACATACATACATTTAAGCGTCATCTAGACGATTTTGTGTGTTTTTTATTTCAATATTTGCGAAATTTTAGAAGAATGTTGGAAACCAGTAACTCTAGAAGTTTGGAGATGAGCCAAATAAAAAATACCTAAATAATTGTAAATGTTATTGACGCATTTTATTTATTACTGAAAGTACACAGTTTTTATCAAAAGGCGCGAGTAAAAGAAAGCTGAAACTCTCTGAGGAGATGTTCTACTGACGTATTAAAAGAATGGGGACAAAGCTTTAGTGCCACCATGAAATGATGAAGTTTTACTATCGAGAAAAAGAAATGCAGACACAAGAATGGATCCAGAATTAATTGCTTTCTGAAAAAAAGCACGTAATTCCTTCAACCTCTGAAGCGTGAGCAGTACCGCGTGCATGTCAGAGCGAATTTTTTTCATTTTCATAAAGATTTCCTGTCCACAAAATCTCTGCGAAAAAAAGACGTTCGTTGTGCAATTTAACGACTTTTTAGCTTAAATTAATTTATACTTCTGTAATAAAACATTAATCAAGACTTTACTGCGTCCTAGAATTTGAGATCTCTAGAAAATTTATTAATTCCCAGTCGTCATTACTGCCAGCCCTTTGAGTTGCTCTTTGTTTTAAAGTTGATTGTTTTATATTAATTATTTATTTGAACTTTTGAAAATGTAATGAACTGCTTTCCTTATTCGTACACTAAATTTATTGGATTAGGGCACAATTTCAGCTTAATTTTTCGTTGCCGCAAATTGAATTTTCCACACAGCAATACCAAAACAATTGCTTATAATCCAACAACAGTTTCAAAAGAAAAATTTCACTGTATCTGTACTACATATTATTAAAAAAAATTACATCGACACTGGATCTCAGAAAGTAATTTAGGTAAAATTTTGAAAATATCTGTATTATAGAGTTTAAATGACTACAAAATTTGAATTAAATGTAATCATGATTTTCGCGATAATTGACTTTTGCCCTATTTTGAATATCTCTAGCTGATTCTAATGAAATTAGATTATTTACTAAAGTTTGGTAATATGAGCAGTATCAAGGTCTCGGTAGGGTTTATTATGTTTAAAGTTTTAATAACAAAGCATGATTTTCTGTACAATTCAAGTGAGATTTCTTTCACAAAATTTTGACATGACGTCATCACCATTTTATAGAAGATGAAACAATGAAAATTTAAATATCTTGTAATCACCACATCAATGTGTTTATAAAAAGCTTTAAAGAAATCTGTTATACTTAATTTTTGTTTTATTAATTTTTATCCTGTTAACCTTAAAACCTCTATGTGTGAAAAAAATTAAGGTGCATTAGAATTTTTTATTGGAGGGATCAATATACAGGGTGAGTCAGTACGCGAGCGCTTCTTGATATCTCTATAATTATTAAAATAGAAGAAAAAGTAAACTGAAGTTATATAAGGAAATTATTTTCAACTATACAGAGTGTCTTGTTCTTAAATTGTAACACCGAACGTAGCTTTTTCAATATAATATCCTATATGTTTTTATATACTCTAATTTCGATGCGACGTTGCCAATCATTCCAATTGTCTTGAAATATTTTGGCAATGGAAGGGTTCACAAAAAAAATTGCAATATGGTTATTTTTAACGCGCTTTATTGTGGTATAAATAAAATTGGGTTTCAATACACAGAGCGTTTTTATAAAAAAATTGGTTGAAAATTATTTCGACAGAAATTTCCTCGCCCATACAGTACAGTACATCAAATCTACCTGTTCCGAAACATTATAAGATTTGATTTTGCGGATTTTATTTTTTATGATAATCCTTACAAGTTAAAATAAAGTTATACATCTAATGTTCAAGTAAAGGTAAAGAAGCATGCTACGCGTTGATTTCAAGTGAGTTTTTCCATTATAAACTTTTGTGGTGACGTCATCAACATTTTTGCAAAGATACGTACCAGCGATTGAAGAGAAACTCAACTAAGCAACATTTTCTACGAATTCCAATAACCGGATCTCAATGCGGTGGTCCAACCTCTTTTATTGCTTCGACTTCCGCTTATTAAATAAAGCATTGCATTTAATTTGATTTTCGATGTTGTAATTCACATTTGGTTAATTATAACTTGCTTAGGACTAGGGGAGACAAACAATTCTCTAGGGCCCCTTGCCTCCCCCTAGCTATCGCCTTGTCTAGGGGTCATGCAACGTCGAGAAAATATCAAGCACCAAGTCGCCTGATGGACTCGATTGCTATATTGTCTTAGCTTATGTTCAATAAGAAAAAATGGCCCCTCAGCAGTAACTTAGAGTGATTATTTTTATACATTGGAAGAAGGCCACGGACAAATTAATTTGATTTAAATGATTTTGCCGCCTCAAAACAGGACGATTAAAATTATTAATTAAAACAAAATCGAAAATGTTCTGAATACTATTACTATAATTCTTACTTAATTATTATTAAATAAAGACGTACGTATTCTCACAGTTTAGAGAAAATAGGGTGACTCATTCCTAATTTGATCAAAAAAAAAAAAAAAAAAAATACAGAATTAATTTTATTAAATTTATTTTATCCAATGAAAAAGGAGGATAGGGTGGTTGATCAGGCAGATATATTTTTATTAAAAATTTACTATGCTTGTGATAAATAACCTTGAAACGTCTGTAGGATTTCAAAGCATTCGATTTTGTAGTTCATGATTATAATCCATATGAATGGAATGATAAATCAGAAGTATAGACTCATCACATTTTGCACATTTTCGATAGGATTTATTAGGTAAAATTGTGACATCATGTCATCGAGAGACAAACAGATATATTTTGGTTAAAAATCTGTTTACGATAACTTTAAAATGTCTGCAGAATTTCAAATACATTTGGTTTTGCAGTTCCTTATTTAATCAGTAAAATAAATTGATCCACTGTTTGATTTTTTTGAGTCACTGTGTATAAGAAATTGTAAAAATATGAAGGCAATGCGAAATGACGCCATCTATTTCTTATAGCGGATGATAAACAGAAATATTTTGATTAACAATTTACCATGCTTACGATAACTTTGAAACGCCTGCAATATTTGAAAGCATTCGATTTTGCAGTTCCTGATTTAATCCATGAAATAAATGAACTCATTCATACATTTTTTTGAGTCGCTTGTATTAGCAATTCTAAAAATATGAAGACAATGATTAATCGTAAGCATAGATTTAGTATTTTGCACATTTTAGATAGTAGGTATTTATTCGGCATAATTCTGAGGTGACGTCATAATTTTTTGGAGGAGATAAGCAAAAATATTTTGATTAAAAATTTATATAATTTTGATTTTTATCCAAAAATGTGGAGGTTTCGGATAAAAAAACAACACGGATTCATAAACTACACGTGTAGGACTATGTTATATTATACAATTTAGAACCCATTTACTATGTACAATTTTGAGGTGACGTCATTACATTATTAGTGGGGATGATTAGATAAAGTTTGGTTAGTGTCTTATCATCTACATGATATTCATAATGTACATATAAAATTTGAGAAGAATCGGTACAGTACTTTCGGAGATTATTTCTCTAACAAAAATCGTCACATAGGATGGATAGATAGACAGACAGATAGACAGACGGAAACAAGAGACCCGATGGATTCGATTACAATACTTCCTGAGGTTACGCTTGGGAAGTAAAACATAATTATAACAATTTTCTAATATTGTTATTTCAGTTTTTCCGTTAGAACAGTATTTTGTTACTGCATTGTTGTTTTTTGTTCTCTTACTTTTTTGTTAAATATTTTCTTTAGTTAAAAATATCGATATTTGAAAATTACTGTGAAGTCTAATTCTTTATGAACACTGTATATTAAATCTTCATAACACAGATCTTAGAAATAACGTTATTGCGATTTTTTTTGTGAACCCTTGCATTGCTTAAAAAATTTATAACTATGACTATATATCCCAAGAAGCGGGTAATAAGATCATATAAAAATATGTAGGGTATTCTATTTAAAAAAATCGAGTTGTATACTATGTCTCAAAAACAACATACTGTTCTGTATAGTCGAAAATAATTTTAATGGATGCATTCAAAGAGCCGTATAAATTTAGTTTCTGATTTTTTTTCTCTAACGCGCCCTTAGTGACACCCGGTATATATTTTGATACCTATAAAGTAATTTTTTTAGTAACTCCAAAAATAGAACTATAGATATTATAAAATGATCAGTATCGTATTTTTTTTAAAACGTTTATTTAATATTTTTTTGAGATCACGTCATTACATTTTTAGAGGGGAAACCAAAAGATCAAGATTATTGTCTTACCAAGATGTCAAAGGGATGCGTTAGGTAGGTTCGAAGATAAACTGTAAAATTTCATTTTTCAAATTTTATATTTTTGACACACAAAAATAGGACAAGGAGCATGTTGCAATATTTATCTCCAGTATAATTGAACTTAGCGGAATTTAGACGATGTCAACTAATTTGTGCGAGGATAAAGCGACAAATTTTAGCTAGCGTTTTACCTATCTACATGCTTTGCTATAAGTACACTTAAAATTTCATTGTATTTTCTAATTTGTAATCAGACTGACCGACAGATGAGTAGCACCAGGCAGACAGGCAGACAGGCAGACAGACAGACAGACAGATGGAAACAGGAGACCGACATTTTCTTGTTTTACAAGCTGTGAAACGTTGAGAAAACATGAAATTAGGCATTTGTGAAAATGATCAGAATGCAGCATTTCCGTATCTAATGCTTAGGTATGTGTAATAACATTTTATCATTACCATAACACTGGACATAAGCAGTGAAAATAAAGTCTCAAATATTTAGGTACAGGGCCAATTTTGCTTGTAAGTATTTTGGTATACTTATATTCAGAATGTATTTTACCATTGCTTAATAGCAGTAATATTTTAGTAACCATTTCAGCGGTTTACATAATCTACTTTTAATAATCATTTATTTTGAATTATCAGTAGGTAGTATGACACCACAAACTGTTTCATAATATGTAAACAAAATTTAAGTATTTGTTTGGTTAGAATTCCATTCGGTATTTATATTCCTAAAATCTAGTAAATATGGATGAAGGAAAAAAACGAGTCTCATTTCGCAATTGGATAAATAAAATAAAAAGCTTTAGGGCGACCAAAATATTACATAAAATCAATCATAGGCCTACCTGCAGGCGTAATTTGAGCACGAGAGCCTCCAGCAATCCGGGCTCGCAATCCTGAAATATCCTTACTTTTCGAAGTGTTTCTAAGTGCACTCTAATAGCAATTTCCGCTTTCAATTTATCTGGTAGAGCCGACAGCACGCGTTCTTCGTCCAAAGCCCCACTTTCTGCCCATGTGTAAGCGAACCATCGAATTACTCTAGCTTCTAGTTCGCGACCCACTTTTCTGAAGGCCATGTACTGCTTAACTCCATCCATTCTGTTTTGGAAGTCGACCCGGGCCACGTTCATATTGGATATCATTGAACCGATGTTACCTGGAATATGCAGTGTTCACATGTAATATAGGAACAGACAAAACGCTAAATATTCAGGTTTCACCACTAAAAGGGTAAATGGTAGGAAAGTACGAGTTCAACTTCTATTGTCTTATATGAGAAATGGATAACTTTCTGTGCTCATCGCAGAGAATACTATTTATCGATTGTTCAGAAGAGCGTTTTACTCTACATGTCTATGGTAATGTACTACTCGAACAAAATCTCAGAAGCAGTTGTTGGAAGAGCTTTGGGATTTTAATGTGTATTGTATTTTGTAACTCTTACACACATATGTAAGTACATACGTTGCAAAAAAACTAAAACATCTGCAGTGTAATGATTTAATTGATTAAATATTTGTATATTTTAGCTTTTTTTTATCCACTATTGCTTTTTTCGTGTTATGGCTTATAAAAAAGTACGAATTTTTCCTTTCCGTTCATTTGTTGTAAATTGATAGAATACATACATCCAAATGGATTAATTTAAAATTTAGGTGCAGTTTAAGTTTGTGCAGAAGATGGTAAAACATTAATCAAAATTTTTCTATTAACTCCTTCAAAAATCATTATGCCAGAAATTGCTTCGCTAACATTCGTCCTGGCAAACTTATTGTCCCAAAGCTTAGTTTCTGGCCTTGTAATGCTAATAAATTGTTGACTTATTTACGTGTTCGAGAAACTTGGTTACTTTCAATGTGTGTGCTTTTGTTCACGCAACGTACATTTTTTTGCTTTTTTGTTACTTTTGACGAATGAACTAACATACATTATTGTAGACCCAATTTTTTTGAATTTTGGTTGTCCATTTGATTAGCGTCGAATTGAACATAGATATTTGTCCTACAAAAAACGACGTTATTTATACTATTTCTTCTACCGTGCACGTTTTTTCGCAAAATTTAATTGAAATTTGTATTTTTTTAAATCTGGGGAATTTTGTCGTGGTTGGTGATGGGTTGGTCTGACACTAACCACGAAATATTTGAGCTTTGAATTCTCACAACAACAACTGTAATTCGAATCAATTCGAGTTTTTGTAAGTTAAAATTCGTTAAAATGTCTTGTGAAGAAGTTAGTGAAGTCCTTACGCCTCCCGAAATACGGGAAATTTTGATTTGACATTTGCCACTGACATTCACCTGACATTTCTCGTCATGGCTACCAATCTTACCGGTCTAAATTACACCAGATCTATTTCAGAACTCTTTTCGGCTATTAAGGAACCGCTTTGACGTTATTTGGGTGCTTTAATAGGTCTATTAGAAAACTAAAAACCGTGCGCTGTAGAAAAAATATCTAAGACAACTGCATCTATAAATGAATGGCAAAAATAGTACTGTTATATACAGGGCGCTAAAAAGTAAGGAAGCAGTTGAATATCGCGAGAACGGTTTGTTGAATTTTTTTAAATTTATATTTGGTGCAATTTTTGAAATTGTATGCTTCATTTGTTTTTGAGATTCAGGGTTAATTTGATTTTTTTTAAATAGCACTAGTAGTCAAATGTTTCGTTTTTAAATAGCGCATTTTTTTCTGAATTCAGAAATGCAACGCATGCATTATTTTATTTTTTCTCAACATGGTAAAATAAATAGTCAAAATAAAAGTACTGAAACTCAAAAAATCGTAGCTAGCCATGACAGTACTATCACCTGTCATAGTCGTGGCGTAGAACACTTTATTCAAAAATTATACTAGTGCCCAATCATTGTAAACATAATAGAACTGAGGCTACATAAACTGAAATAAAGGTGCCAGCGTAACAGATTAATGTAAATGCTGTCTGGAAATAATTTACAAAATATTCTAGAAATAATAATACTCCGATTTAAAGATTTAATGAATGTAAAAAATTACATGAATGAAAAAAGATCAAATTATCATTTAAAAAACAATAATTTTACAATAAATGTTCGAAATATTCTCCATTTACTTCCTGGCAATAATAGTAAATATATTGCACAAAGTTTTCAAACGAATTTGTTAGAATATTAAGAGGAATATCAACAATCACATTTAATATGCTTTCTTGGAATTCTTCGATGCTTTGCGGTCTATTAACATAAACTGGATTTTTTACATAACCCCACAGAAAAAAGTCAAGCGGGTTTAAATCGGGTGACCTAGCTGACCACTCAACTGTTCCCTTTCGTCCTGTCCAGCTTCCAGGAAAAGTTTCATTCAAGTAATGCCATACTTAACGTCCAAAGTGAGGTGGTGCTCCATCTTGTTGGAACCAGATGGACCCTTGAGGTAAATTTGGGTTTTCATAGTTGGAAAATATTTGTCTAAGTCGAATAATAATACTTAGTTGCAAAAGTTGGAGGTATTTGTCAGACGTTAAATTTTCGTTAATGAAGAAAGTGCCTACAATGTGGCGACCAATAATGCAGCACCAAACATAAATTTTTTGGGGGTACTGTGTATGAACCTCCTCCATCCAGTGTGGATTTGTATTGGACCAGTATCTACAGTTACGGCGATGCCCGTTCAAACAAAACGTAGACTCATCAGAAAATAATAATTGGTTTATGAAGTTGCCATCCTGATCTAGTTTATCTGCTGTTATTTCGCAAAATTCGATTCAGCGGTCAAAACCATCCTCACTCAATTATAGTAGTAAATGAATTTTGCATGAATGATTTTTTCCCGTTTGAGTATTTTTTTAACTGAGCCTCTACTCATATTGTGGTTTAATGTCAATTGCTGCACTGAAGTTTTTGGATTTTTAGTTACATCTAACTTGATGTTAAAAGTTACCAGTTTCGTTAAATGTGCGCAAATCGATGACCGTATTTTTAAAGCTGCCTACATTTTTATATTTTAGAATTTATTCATAATAAATAATTTATAATTTTATTTGCCGTTTTAGTTCAAAAAGTGTATGCGTGTGTTAGAGTTCTGAATTCAGAAAAAAAATCTATTCAAAAATTGAGGATTTAACTAATTGTGCTATTTAAAAAAAATCAAATTAAAAACAAATGAAGTTTAAAGTTTAAAAAAATTACGGAAAATAGGGCTTGATATTTTTAAGTATAGCCCAAATTTCAGGAATAGAGGTCTAATAGACAAATGTGGTATTGATCTGGCTTTAAGTGTTATGACGACTTTGAAAAAGGTATCTAATTTCGGTCAATGTTAAATTGTGGATCCTGGTGGTAACATAGACAAGCTCAATGTAAAACATTCAATGGCCTCCGCGTTTGCTGTCGTGAGAACGTAAAACAATAGGGTGGAATTATATGTCGACTAATACAAGAACAAGGCCTAGATAACACGAATACACAGTACAATGTAAGGGACATGGTATTAGGCCTAAATAGGGTGGTGTTGGAACTGTTTTCGCATATCCCCACATCCTATTTGCACCTATATATTCGCCCGATATGAATTTATTTTTAAATTTTCAACATTGTGTTTAAACAAACTTCTTTTATTTACCTAGCTATTTGACAACACTGTTCAATATTCCAAATAGGAGAATGCTATTAACAGACTAAATAAACTCTGCTCTGGTTAAAAGGTCACACGTAAAATCTGAAATTGCTGTGAATATGGACGGCAAAATTCATGAGATGTTATAATATGTGTATACGTTGGAATTGTAACTAGCCCAAAGTGCTAATGTCGTTTGTACCTTTGTTTTTGTAATCATTTTTTAATTAGTTATTTTTTAATATCGTCCAATTTAAATTTTCTTTTTTTTTTCTTTCTCTATCAATATAGATTTAATAGATTTGGGAAAGATTGAAAGTGTTTGAATAGAAAGAATAATGTTATTATTTCCTGAGGGTAAGTCAGAAGTATTGTATAACAGAGTCCATTTGGCAATTTCATGTATTCTCACGGTTTGATAAATCCGATTGGATGAAAAATTGGTCTAAGGTTATTTAGATAAAACTTCCCCTGCCCCTGAAGTACTGCACCATTTATCCAACTGTTTCAAAAATTTATAAAATTTGATTTTGTGAATTTAATTTTTTTATGGTAAACCCCTATAAGGTAACATAAAAATATGTGTGCAGTAAAGTAAAGGTAAAGAAGCATGCTATTTCCACGTTTCGAGTGAATTTTTCCATTACAAAATTTTGTGACGACGTTATCAACTATACACATCGATGTATCGAAGAAAACAGCTGATTGTTGACTCCTCTGCTATCGAGGACTGGATTTTATATTGCTACAAACACATTATTCTAAGAAACCACAAACTCAGAGTAGGAAGCAGGGACGGCCAATGATTACAATTTACGATTGTTTCTGTCTGTATAACTTGCCTGATTTTTTGATTGCAAAAAAATATTTCTCAGAATTTTGTAATTAAAGAAAAAAATTAAAATTCTTGAAACACAAAAATTTGTTCAAGGTGATTAAAATGTCTTGAAATACAGCCCAACATATTCAGTTGCTTTGAAAAATTATAAAATTAAAATAACTCTTATATTTTAAAGTAGAGGTACGTATGAACTAATAAAGTACAGATAAACCAGTCATGTGTCAGGAAGGTGGATATATACTTATGTTTCGTGTAGTAAGTGTTATTCATAAACGACAACTACAGGAGTAAGTTATTTTATAAAATTTATGTGGCATATATTTAGCAAAATTTTGACATGGCGTCATAAAATTGTTGGTGCGGATGATTAGACAAATTTGGTTAGCATTGTATGTACCATGTAGATGACATTCCTAATATTCACAATCGGTCTGGTAGTTTCGGAGATTATCCATTTAATAATAATCGACACACATAACAGAGAGATGAGAATCCTAGTTTTTCATGCTCTAGAGGTCATGAAATGTCGAGAATGAAATTTGACGGACATTGTGCAGATGGTAAACCACTAACCAAAATATGTGTGGTCATCTCGATTCACAATTCAATGACGTTATCTCAAAATTTTGCAGAGTAAATCATACTTAAATTTTACAAAATATCGTGCTTCTGTAGGTGTGATTTATTAATCCACCCTAGAAGATGTACTTCAAGTGTCA